TGGTTAGCAAGCTGGCTTGGCATGTGTAGTACATATCATGCACCCAATAGCCGGGTCAAATGATACATAAAGGACCCCTCCACATATATATATATATATATATATATTCTTATGTGTGTATATATATATATATGCATTTAGGGTTTAGGGTTTACGGTTTAACATAAACAAGTATGTGTATATAGGCTATAAAGAATCTGGGGGACTTCGCAAGCAGGTGACATATGGGGATTGAAGCAATTACGTTAGTTTCGTCCGCTATGAGTATTGCGCCCCTGAGCCCGTGAGAAATGTGGGTTTCGGGCTTTAGGATTTTGATGTTGACTTCAAAGCCTTGGACCTACGGTTGATGATATCCGCATTAACCATAAACAGCAACATGCTATACCTTAGTTTAGGGGGCTTCAGGTTATGCTCGGCGACGCACTCGATACTGCAGCTGAAATGAAACCCGCAGCATACGAACCCTGAGCACCAAAACTTAGGAGCCTCGCTGGCCTCAAATCCCGTAACCCTAAACCCTGCAAACCCCAAACAGTAATGTAGGGGCCTAAATAATTACCAATACTATTTTGCGGGCTGCTTAGTATATTTATTGTATAACGGGCCCCAAAGCCCGGTTCTAAGTATTAAGGCCCCTAAACTCTAAACCCTAAACCCTTATAGTAGCTAGAACCCTCTAAGGAACCCTTCAAAGGGTCCTAAAGCCTCCTAACTAAGCCTCCTACACCATTCTGCATGCGAAACTCTACCAGCCCTGAGCCCCTCCGAAAAGCCCAAACCCTAAAGCTTAAACCCTGCCGAAGCCCCCCGCCCCCCCCCACCTTTAAACCCAAAGCCCTCAACCCCAAACCCAAAAACCTAAGCCCTAAACCCTACCTTTAAACCCAAAAACCTAAGCCCAAAACCCTAAACCCCAAACTCTAATCCTCAACCCTAAACCCTAAACCCTAAACCCTAAACCCTAAACCCTAAACACCCTAAACCCAACCCCCGACCCAAAGCTCCAGGCTGGAGGCGCCTTGGTGAAGAAGGACTGGGTCGGGGCCGCACTTGGGATGGGCCTCGATCCGACAGTTAAGGGCTTAGGTTTTGGGGTTTAGGGTTTAGAGTTTAGGGTTAAGGGCTTAGGTTTTGGGTTCATTAAAGTTTCGTGTCTGAGGTCTTTTATGTAAGAAAACCTCCATACATGTGTGTGTGTGTGTACATATTCACACATACACACACTTGTGTAGTTGTTGCTAGGTGCTGTCAACTATGTGACAACATTCTCTGAAGATGTGTGTGTGTGTGTTTACATCCATGTATGTATGCATGTAGGTAGGTAGGTAGGTAGGTAGGTAGGTAGGTAGGTAGGTAGGTAGGTAGGTAGGTAGGTAGGTATATGTATATGTATATGTATATGTACATATGCACACATACATATGTACATTAACATGCATGCATGCATACATACATACATACATACATGCATACATACATACATACATATACATATGTATGTATGCACGCATGCATGCATGTATGTCTCTGTGTGCATGTATGTATGTATGTATGTATGTATGTATGTATGTACGTATGTATGTATGTATGTATGTATGAAGGTAGGTAGG